AGCTTATTTGGGAGGGAGCTATGTTTAATCCCTTGTGTTAGAGTTTTCCCATTATGGAGAAGTGCCTAGGGGTCAGAAGAAGTTTTTCTCAATTGGCCCATGTATGTGTGCCACCATGTGGCTCACAAAAAATAAATAATTATGGTTGTTCACTGATTTTTTAGATATGCAATAACTTAAATTTTTAAGAGATTAGCATCAAATATTTATTAATTTATAAAAACTAATTAGTGATTTTGTATGGATTAAATTTTGGCTATAAATAAAATTACCTGTGAAGCTGGAGCAATTTTCTTGCATTTTTGCATTTAAATTTCAGTTAAAGATTTCTCTGTTGTCCCATTAATTTACTTGTAAATTTATGAGAATAGTTTTGCAACTATGTATTATACTCCCTTGTCTACCCTCATTGTTGTGTCCTTGTTTCTTCCCTGCAGTTGCATCTTTGTTTATATGTGCGGGTCCACTCTAATTACTGCATCCTTGTTGATACATTGTCAACCTGTTATTCTTGACACATCAGTTGTATCTTTGTTGACACGTGGAGTTCCTAACTCATTGCTGCATCTGTGTTGACACACATGGGTCTGCCCTCATTGTGATATCCTTGTTAACATGCCATGGTCCTCATTCATGGCTGCATTCTTGTCAACATGTAGGTTTTTTTTTTTTTATTTTTGCATCTTTGTCAAGATGGGGTGGTCTTCTCTAATAGTTGCATCCTTGTTGATACATTGGCTTCCTCTCATATTGTCACATCCTTATTGATACACAGGCTTCTTATCTCATTATCACATTCTTATTGATACACAGGCTTCCTCTTTCATTGTCACATCCTTATTGATATACAGATTTCCTCTCTCATTGTCACATCCTTGTTAATACACATACTTTCTCCCTCATTGTCACATCCTTATGGATACACATACTTCCTTTCTCATTGTTATATCCTTGTTAATACACAGGCTTCCTCTCTCATTGTTACATCCTTGTTAATACACAGGCTTCCTCTCTCATTGTTACATCCTTGTTAATACACAGGCTTCCTCTCTCATTGTTACATCTGTGTTGATCCTCTCAGTTTTGGCTTCATGGTACTTTTACTGATTATTTTTTGTTAAATCTAGCAGCTACTCAATGTGTAATATTAAAAGGAAAAAACAAGTAAGGAGAAATAATTTGTAAATAAATAATTGCAGTTATTTCCTCATTGGTTGCCTATGTAGGAAGTTCAACTCAATAACCTGAAAGGTTTCATATTTTTTTTTCTTTATTCATAGGCATAAATATAGGATGTTTCAACTTGAAAAATTCTTCTTGAATGAAAATTAAAATACCTTCTGCTTTTTTCTTGGTTCTTTTTTCTTTTATTAGAAGTTGACTTTGTGTTAATACCTCACTTGCCAAATCTTGAAGCATGTCGTCTAATTTTAATTCATCTTTTAACTATTGCTATCATAGCATTTTTCATCACCACAGTATACTTCATATTATGCTATTGATTGTATATAATTTTGTAGCATTAGATATATGAGGAAATCCAGCCCATTAGGGAATGACCTAGTAGCATTAAGTAATAAAATCTGTAATAAAAAAGTCCATTACTTCTTTAAAACTTGCTTTGTTTACATTAGGATACAAAACTGAGCAGATATAAATGTTTCAAGAGTCAGAGAAATATTTGCATTTTTAAGATACTATTCAACTTTGCTTGATTGGTATAAGCACAATGGATATAATGATGGTTTCTCCTGCCAAAGGTGGTGCAGGTTCAAATCTTGCCGGCAAGTGCATATTTTTTCTTAATAAGATTTCTTGAATATTTAGGCCAGTAGACAGAAAATAAATAAATATACTGCTTAATAAATACAAGAAGTAATAACATATATGCTATTCCACATGTCCACACATCAGTTCAACACACTTGGCATATCATTTCTCAAGTTTCCTTAACTTCACCCCCAAATTCTGATCATTGAAATACTGCTCTGCTGCTGCTATCATCTCTGAATCATTGAAAGATTTCCTCCTTTTCAAACTCTTTTTAAGGCTGGGAAACAGGAATTAGGCTAATGGAGCAAGGTTTGATGATTAGGGTGGATAGTCTATGTACTCAATCACAGAATTCTATAAAGCATCCATTGGCTTGCCCAGACCTGTGAACAGGTGCATTATCCTGCAAAAAGAAAACATCTTTCTGCAATTTCTCTTGCTGTTTTTATTTTAATGCCTCCATTAATTGACACAGTAAGTTATGGTATTCTGCATAAACTAATTAGTTCTTCTGAAAATCCTTAGGCTTCAAAATACCTTCTGTGGTGAACAGGAAAATCAGCTACCCAAAAAAAAAAAAAAAAAATTATGTCTTGGGTACAGTTTGCGGAAGAAAAAATTAATAAGTCCTACATAATTACTGCCTCACATATGGTAATTTTTTTTATTGTCTCTGACTAATGTGGCCAATCATAAAATTTACCTTCTTAATAAAAGCCATTGATTTTCTTGATGAAGATATATTTTTTGCCTCCTGAACAAGAGTGAGTCGGCTGTGTTAAAATTTGTGAGTTGGATATTTTTGCCTCTATTTTTATTTTCCACCTTGGACTTTTGATGTTGGATTTGTGATTTTTGTACTACTCTTCTTTCCTGCCTTTTGAATTTGTGAGACTGGATTCGGATTTTTTCAGCGCCCTTGGTGTTTTGGATGTTAATGGATTCACCTTCCTTATCGACACAAAGAAATGACAAAAGCTTTTGTTTTTCTTTCTTACCGACTTTCTATTCATGAACTTCTTTTTTCATAAGAGAACCTGAGCACCAACATTGCATAAACTGCTGTGTGGTCTCTGGATAGTCATGGTATAACCACAATTCATCAAAAGACATAAGAGGGCAGTAAATACCCACTTACCTTGTTTAGGCCTGGTAAGTTGAAATTAATATCAGCACAAGTCTCATGTGCCAATCTACTGAGGCAGTATCTATCCTTTGGGAGGAGGCCAGGGTCAGTACATGGCACCTGAGGCATTCTCAAAAGTGGAAGTGCCAAGGTGGCTTAAGCAATTTTTATATAACTTTCTGGAAATCCTGCATTAGACTCTAACCTTGTGTCACATTATATTGTGATGTGTGTGCAGAGATAAATACCTGTTTAGTTTGTAAGAGGCTGAAGGTATTTACTTGCTGATACCATTTGCAATGAAGGAAACATGCATGTCTCTATTTTGATAAACTAGAATTTTTTGCAACATGCTGACACATGCTGAAATCCTCACAGTATTTAGTATTGGTGAAGTTATTGATAACATTTTATATCGAGATTTACAAACTCTACATTTTGTTCAATTTCACAAATCAATTTATGAAATTTGAATAAGCTGATATGTTTGAAAAATACTTTGACAAAAACCCTACTTGGCGGTTTAATAATTTCTTTAATTTAATTTAATTTTATAGAACTTCATGACAAAGAATATTTTTTCAAAAACTTTCTTTTTTTCCTTTTTAACAGCAAAGAATAAATTGTTAGGATTTCTTACTCTTGAGCATGCAACATACAACTGGTCATGGGAAAATATTTCTTTCTGGAGGAAAATTTCAACTTTTTGAAGTGTTTGGCCTTGTGACTTTTTATAGTTCTTGCAAATGCAGGGTGACCTGGGAACTGGATTCTTGTATATAAAAACCAATAGAAAATATATGCAAAAGCAATATTGCATTTTTATTAAATAAGTATTTGTTATTTTAATTATTAAATTGTTTTTAAAATAGTGGGAGTATTTTGTATGTTAAATAATAAAACTTTTAATTTTTCAAAACATTTAATGAAAATTTATTGTACTAAGCTATGCACCTTAGCAAAACCAACTGTACTTTGTACCTGCTTGCACTTCTCCTCAAAATTTGATTTTGATTGGTTATTTTAGAGAGTGTGAGGGATGGATTAACAGAAGTCAGAGAATTTTATATATAGATTGAGATCAACTCTTTATATTACATATTATAGTACAGTTTAAAAGAATATCCTGCTTAGAGGATTTAAATAATTGCATTCAAGCTGGCATCTTGCTTCCATGCCACCTTCATTTTTAAAAAAATTTAAATGCAGTGTCAATCAGCATCTTCTGTCTTCCTGAACCCTGTTCTTTTATTGTTCTTTCATCTCACAAAAGTCTTCTCCTTCTCATTCACTCAGTAACCCAAGGTGTCTTAGTGGCATTATTGTCTTGTTTGGGGTGAAATGATTTATTAAAAAAATATATATAGCCAGTAGCAAGAAAGGAGTATGACAGAAGTGGCAAAGAGGTGAAGTTAGCAATGATAATGAAACAACTTAAAACTGTTTATTGTAGGGTTTTATTCTGGGAGAACATTGGTGAACAATTTTGATTACCCACCCCTCATTTTGCATACAAAACTGTTGCTTGGTTTAAGTTAACTTTCTATAATATGACAAAAACTTATTACTGATAATGATAATTGTAACATTTGACATTCATTGACCAAACAATGTTACTGTCGGTTGAAATTTATAAAATCTTCTTTTGCAAAATAGTTTTTCACAAAAATGGGTTTCTTATGTCCAGTAACTGTTATTGTTCTTTCTAGTATTTATTGGAGTTTCATTCCATACCTTTTGTTTTTGGTAGTGTGGAAAGATAATATCTTGATTAGATTACTGAAAATGCTGCAAAATCAACTTGGAATGTTTCCAAATGATATTTTTTTCTGGTTGGCATTCCAATATTTTGCTGCCAATTTTGGTTGACATTTTCTGCAGATTCTTCATGAGGTCATGATCCTGATTAACAATTTCAGGAGTTTATACCATTGAAGGTGTTCGAAATCATCATGCATTTTTTTTATCTCAAAAACACTAAGTTGGAAATTGGTATATCACTATGCTGTTGATTAGGATGAGCACTTGTCATCCATTGTTTGTATCATATCCTGATGGATTTCCTGGAGTTTTCTTCTGCAGTAGTTTACAGCCACATTATATTGAAACACCAGCTCTCATTTGATCACCAAAGTTAAGCAACATCAAGCCTGGTCAGTATCTAGATGGGTAACCATTTGAGAATACCTGGTTCTGTAAGCTTGGATGTGCAGGTAGTGTAATCGGTAATGACTAAGAAAGCCAGATTCCAATTCCTATTCGATTTGTTATATTCACTTATGTAAAAATAGCCTTGTGAAAGGTATGAATCTACTTCTTCTCCCTCCAGTTATGGGTTAATTAGTAAGACTTGTATCACTAAACCATTATTATCTCCAAAAGAAAAGATTCTTAGAATCTAAAAGTATTTTCCAGCTTTAAAAATCCTGCAAAGGGTTGATAAACTGTAGAAAATGAATCTATCATATCATTCTGTAGAATGACCCTATTTTTGGCATTTTTTAATTAATTCTTTTATAAGATATTTTTTTTTTTTACAATAATGTTAAACCCTGTAAAAGTGATCAAGAAAGTATACTCTTAGTGCACACTGTAACAGCAGCAAAAAAATAGGTGCAATCAAACTGAAACTTTAATCCCATGACCACAATAGTACCAATCATAGGCATGCATGTGCAGAAAGCAATGTGACGAACATGAAGATATGTTATGGCTGAAAGTGTGGATAATTTTTTTTACTTACCCTTGTACACAGAAAATGGACTAAAATCAGCCTTACTTACCCATTGACTGGAATCCACCAGATTTTTTCTTCTTTCTATTTTGTTCCACTATCATTTGACGTGTTTCGGCATTCCCTTCCTCAGCAGTGATATCTTCACCATCGTACATATCTTCAACATCAATCAAAGATTTCTGATAACAAAGTCAATGACAAGAGTTTAAGTAAGACAAGAGAAACATTTATTTTCTTAGCAGTGGCAGGGGAAACAGTATAACTGGATAAGATCTCCCTGTTTGTACATGAAAATACCTTTTAGGGCAGCTTTTAGCATTGGGACAAATTAATTAAAGCAGATGAGAAAAATCATGAAGACTGATGAGAGAAAAAAAAAACAAAGGAGAATTAATTAGAACCCATAAGTGAATGGTTGAAATAGAAACAGAAAGGATTGAATGTTGGTTTAATTTAACAGGAATCAACTAACTCCAATATCTTTTAAGATGTTCAATCCATACAAGGCCTAAGAGCCATTCAAGATAGAGGGTTATAGAGTAAGAGGTACCATAATGTCACCAAGATACAAGAGGCCACCAGAAATGAAAGAGAATGAAAAGACTTTAGAAGAAACTGGAAACCCAATCCTAAACATGAAACAAAAGGATAAACCTCGAAATTCATGTAAAGCTAAATTTTGTCTGTATGTTCCTGCTTTAAACCACTAGAAAAAAACAGCTTGTATTGTTAACACATAAACAATCATTTAGTTATCAGCCTTATATATATATATATATATATATATATATGAAGAAATATAGTCTTAAGGTGTGCTATATTTATGGGATAAAAGTGCTCAATATCAGAGATAGAGTGTGTGTAAATAGAAGTCAACACTTAGAGGCGACAGTCTGTTTCATGCTAGATGCAATCATCAGGCCATATATATATATATATATATATATATATATATATATATATATATATATATATATATATTAATTAGAACCCATAAATGAATGGTAAAAATAGAAATAAAAAAGATTGAATGCTAGTTTAATTTAGCAGGATCAAGTAACTTCAATATATTTTACAATGATCACTATGAACAAGGCCTAAGAGTCACTCAAGGTAGATGGTTACAGAGTAAGAGGTAAGGAGAACAGTTTATAAGAATATGCGGGAAAGATAATGGCTAACCCTAAACTTGAACAGGTTAAGATTGTAGTAATCAAGAATATAGTCTTGGTGCACAATGTAACAGCAGCAAGAAAACTGGCGTGATCAGGCTCAAACTTCAATCACATAACTACAACAGTACTAACTATAAGTATGCATGAGCAGAAGGCAGTGTGACAAGCTGTTATATAGGAATAAAGTGTTGCTTCTGACACTTGAGTTTGAACATAGATCACCACTGAGCAAACACAGATGATCCCATTATTGAATTAAGTAGACCATGTGACCATAGAGGAAATGCATAAGCAAGAAGTTGTAGGACATCTAACTGATCACTATTTCTAGTCTATCCTCTATTACTATTCGGATCATTATTCTGGTCTATCCTCTATTACTATACAAATCATCATTTCTACTCTATCATCTATTACTATATGGACTGCTATTCTCTACTCTAACTATATAGATTACTATTTATGCAAGTATCATTGAGCAAGTACTATTAGTGCAAGAGCTAAACAAAGAAACCTGACACCAGTATTGTTTGATGGTGTACTATAGTTGTAAAGGGTGTTTCATTAAGATGGATTATAAATAAAGGTGTTTCATTCAGATGGATTATATATAAGGGTGTTTCATTATTATGGATCAAAGTCAGCAGTAAATAAATCAGTGTTATTAGTGAAAATTTCTTTATTTCTTTATTGGATCAAGTTATTTAAGTCATGGCAATTATATATGAAAAATAATATTGCCCAAATATCTGCCAAATCTGAAAGAAAAAGAAAAAATCCTTAGACACTTAATACAAAGTTTCTACAACAACGAGAATGATGAGTATTCGTTGACATCACAAAAGTGGCAATGGGTGTTTGTTGACATCACAAAACAAGCCTAAAAATATGTTATGGTAAAAGTGTGCATAATTTTTGACTTACCTACATATGTGTCATTATAATTTCTATACCTTTCAAAAAAGCCTTTCTAAATTATAAATTTGTGAGAACAGACATTAAACAAAGAAAATCTTCTCTTTATTTTCTGAAATTCTCACTCTTTCCCTATACAAACATAAAAATGGGTCAGTTGTCTAATAAGTATTACGCAACAAATATCTATTTTTCAATATAAAATCTTTCCATGTCAATACACATAACCCAAAGCCTTATATATATTACAGATAAAACACATAGTAAAAATTACCCAACCAAAATTCAGTTAATAAGTGCATATCAGACTATGACAATAGAAATAGTAATAATAGCCATTTTCTTATAAGGAAGCTTTTGGCATTCATTGACCAAGCAGCTAGAACAACGTTCATTTGAAATTTATAAAATCTTTCTCTAGGTTCCTTAAGTCCAGTAGTTGTTATCGCTCTTTCCAGTATTGATGGGGGTTTCCTTCCTAACCTTTTGTTTGAAATAGTGTGGAATGTGACCATCATCTTGATTATGTCATTATTTTTGCCTTGAGTTACATGTGCTAGCCATTTTAGCTGTTGCTGCTATTGGTAGTCATCAGGCCATGTGGTTTCTGTTATTTGGTACAGTTCTAATTATTAGGAAGACTCTTCCAGCGATTCCATAGCTAGAAAGCTTGTGTAAGCAGTTTTTTCCCAGTTGCATGTGTGCTCAGCAATGACTGTGGAATGAACCAACGCTTGAAATAACTGTTCAACAGCTTTTATTTTTGCTTGAAAGAGGGTGCAAAATAGTAGTATTTTGTTGGAAAAAAGTGGGGTTTCTCAGTTAACAAAGTTCTTGAGTAAATGTTTTGTAGAGAAAGCTTTCTCTGCTGGTTGCCATTAGATGAACAAGAAATCTGAGTGCAAAACTGCTAGAACAGGCCTTGTCTTCTGCAGCAAGGGTCGTGTGTAGTTTTTCCTTTGGTAGATGTCTTGAAGGGAGATTTCACCAATGGTTCTCATGGGAGGAACAAGAAATCTGAGTCAAGCTACCAGGGCAGGCTTTGTCTTCTACAGCATGGGTTGTTTATAGCTCTTCGAGCTAGGGTTGAAGGTTGCAACCACTGTAAAGGAAAAGTGGAAAAGAACAGGCTTTGAAAGTAGAGGCCACTGAAAAGGGAAATTGATAAAGAGGCAGAATATTCTTATGACTTCTGGGACTTCTTGTTGTACCCTGCTGATTACTTCTGTTGTTGCTATTGCTGAATCAAGTACGGAAGTACCCACATGCCACAACAGCCAACAAGTGAGATAATTTCTATATCAACCCTTTAAACCATGCCTTGTCAAAGGGCTTTGAAATATTTAATGCAATTGTCCTTTTTGTAAATATCAGTCCACTATATCCAAATTATATAGTCAACCAAAAGCACAGAAAATTCCAATGCAACTAATAGTTTTTAGAATTGATTGTACCACTCATATAATTGCTGGAGATATCACGAAAATTCTAACTTTCTACTACTTGTTTATTTTATAAACAAAGAATAACGTATGTGTTTAGTTTCCATTTTAACACCTGGAAGTCACATCTGTCTAATTAGTCAAACATGGCAAAAATCTCATTTGTTTTTCTATCCGTGTCTCTGGTCTCATCTCATGTCCCAGCTGCCAGACTTTGCTGTTTTCAGCTCCACCTATTTTTTTTTTCTTAACCAAAGAAGCAATTAAAAATCCATTTATATCATTCATTATCAAGGTCACCACAATGTTGCCTGGTGAAAATAATTTCTAAATTCATTATTGATATTTATTAGTAAATACATGGTTAAAAGAACAATTAAACTGAATAAAAAACCCCTCTTTGACAAGGCAGTAAAGAGATGAAAGGAATATTAACTGCGAAAAAAACAAAACAAAAAACAACAGTGAATGGTTGCCAGCAAAAGAAGCAGACCAAGCTATTAGCTACTTATTGGCTATGTGAAAATCAAGAAGGTACAGAAAAGCAAAGTATTAAAACAAGAAAATATCATTATAAACAAAGAAAATGCTGAACTTTTATGTAATATCTAATCTCTTATATGTCAGTGAATGACTGCATTCTTATAAATGAAGAAGACTGTCCTTTTTGTTTCTATTTTCCTTCAAGCTTCTTTGTTACTCACATGTTCAAGTCATGGAATTCACAGTATCCTTCTGTAGAATAAGAGCTCAGTTACCTCAAGTCTTCTCTTTATCTGTCCAGCATTGCATTGCCATAGAGGAAGATTGACATTTCATTCTCTTTGATTTTTAATGACATTTTTCTGTTTCTTAATACTTTGCTTAGCTTTTGGAAGGCATCTTTTGCTATTCTAATTTGCCTTCAGATTTTGGCATGACATTTTCTGCT